AACTGTGACGTCGAACCCAAAATTCATTGCCGTTTCAAGCCCTTCGAAATTGAATAAAGCTTGCGACCCCATCCAAAATGTGGACAATGTGAAAATTAAATTTTTTGCCCCCCGCCCCCATATTCGGTAAACTGAATTTGGCGCATCTCATTAGCCAATTTGCGGAAACGGTGGAAAAGTTGAAAGTCCGTTTTACTCCATTTTTCCGGTTAAGCAATGTGTATTTTCCGCAACTTGTCTCTTCTCTAAAGCGATCCTTTTGATATAAAAGGTGTGTCTCTCGTGATTACTTTGGCTTTAGCCACTGAGGAAGTTGCTCTTTTTGAAGTATCCCTTAGGGCGATAAAATATCTTGAGCGCCGAGAGGAAAATGAAAAGGCTAAAAGCGAAATTAATATTTTTCGAGGATATTGCAGGGTAGATTTAGCACTTATTGACGTTGTTTTTGGAACGTTATTCCGCGACTAAGATTGAATGCAATGGCGAATTCGCCACAAAAGGCATCCTCAGTTCTTTAGTAACTATTTTTTATTCAAGCAAATACTATTTCCAATCCGTTAAGTATTATCTGCTCGAGATAATCGAATCGAACGACCCCAATTGAAAGGTGGAAGTCACCGACCTTTTGCCAGCCTCGTAAAAGTGGCTCTGAAAATGGACATTTATACACAAATGTGCCCTCTCGTTTATAAATTCGTTTGGACCACACTAAAGGAGATAATAATATGAAATTCGCACCATCAATAGACAATGACTGTGTCTAACAATGACAAAAGTTTCATAGAAATCGTCCATAATCCTAATCTTTGCCAGCGTCGTAAATGTGGTTCTGAAAATGGATGTTTTTACACAAATGCGCCCTTTCTACGAAAAATGTATTTCGACCAGACTAAAGGAGGTAAGGATATGAAATTTGCACAATCTATCGAAAATGTCTGTGTCTCTCGATGACTAAAGTTTCATAAAATCGCCCATAATCCTGATGTTTTTCAGCGTCGTAAACGTGGCTCTGAGATTGGACGTTATTACTCAAATGCGCCCTCTCGTTTAAAAATTTGTTTGGCGCACACTAAAGGAGATAGGAATATGAAATTCGCACCACCAATAGATAATGTCTGTATCTTACGATGACAAAAGTTTTATAAAAATCGCCCATAATCCTGGTTTTTTCCAGCGTCGTAAACGTGGCTCTGAGAATGGACGTTATTACTCAAATGCGCCCTCTCGTTTAAAAATTTGTTTGGCGCACACTAAAGGAGATAGGAATATGAAATTCGCCCCACCAATAGATAATGTCTGTGTCTTACGATGACAAAAGTTTCATAAAAATATCCGATAATCCTGATTTTTTTCAGCGTCGGAAACGTGGCTCTGAAAATTGATGTTTTTACACAAATGCGCCCTTTCTCCTAAAAATTTAGTTCGACCAGATTAAAGGAGGTAAGGATATGAAATAATTCGCACAATCTATAAAACATGTATGTGTTTTACGATAAGAAAAGTTTGATAAAAATCGCCCATAATCCTCATTTTTGCCAGCGTCGTAGACGTGGCTCTGAAAATGGATGTTTTTACACAAATCCGCTCTGTCTTTTAAAAATTTGGTTCGACCACACTGAAGGAGCTAAGAATATGACATTCGCACCATCTATAGCGAATTTCTGTGCCTAACGACGACAAAAGTTTCATAAAAATAGCCCGTAATCCTGATTTTTGCCAGCGTAGTAAACGTTACACACCCAACTCTGAGAAACTCCTTATCTTAAGGCAGATTGCCGGGTTTCTTCCAATTGAAACCGCATCCATCCTAGAATATTGTTAAGAGCCAGATTAGATCATAACTTTCACCATTTTTACGATTCTCCTTCGGTAATGGGCAATTATGGCTCTTATTGTATAATTGAATTTAATGCGGAATAATTTAGTCCGAGAGTCCTTATGTAGAGGCAATTGATTATCATTATGACTTTAATGGTTGTTCGTGCTGAATTTCAAATCAGGTTGTTTGCTCTCAGTGTCTACTGGAGCCTTTTGTGGCGTTTTCCCAATATAATTAATCACATCTGTAAAGTCGACAATAGCGACTTATCGACAACATTTACAAACTGAAATGTCAAGAATCTTACAACTTATATGAATATCTATAGACGTGATAATCACATATTTTTTTGTAACATAAATTCAAAAAACGCGAATGCTTTGCAGGTAATGGAAACGCAACATTGCCTTGTATCGAATATCAGAAATTATACGGGGTTAACCACATTAAACCAATGGCTTACTGAACACCGGTACAAACCGAGCAGGAGTTAATTAACCGAATACGAGAAGAGTGCACAATAAGGTGATTACCCAGGCACCAACTTGTTTAGAATTAAAGACATAACGTATATTTATTTGTAAACACATCAATTCGAGGTTATGATGACAATAAAGATCAATATCTTATTGACATTTCAAATAAGTACGTTCCACATTTAACGAATCCTGTTGAATTTACCTTTTATCCTTATCTATTTTATTGTCACTTTCTCTATATTGTACGTACTTTCCTGACTGTGTTTCAATTCCAAAATTAAAATCAAATCCTGGGTTCTTCAGTCATTTATTTATTGTTCATTTATCAATTTAAAAAAACGTTTCGGTGTTTTCCACCATCATCAGTTTTAATGTGTAGCGTTGTTGCTACTTTACGCCTTGGCATGTA